ATATGAATGTAGGAAGTGATGCACAATTGCGCCAGCTCTTTTTTGGTGGCACCCTGAACAGGTACATGACATGTCTGCTCAACTTTTATGTTGACATCCTTTTTTTTTATGGTAGGGCAAAAAAAGATATTAGTGGATTAAGTACGTTTTGTATTGGTCCTTGTGTAAAATCTTCTTTTTTTTTGTTACAAAGTTTGCAAAAAAAAAAAGTATGAGTAGACCTGAGATGTTCTTATAGTTCCTTGTTTAAGTCCAATTTTTCATGTTTTTAATGATCAGAGATACTTGTTTTTGTATTAACTCGGAAAATGGGTATCTAAGTACGTGGGAAACACATGATTTGCTGTAGATCTGTATTATTGCAATGCACGAGCTACAAGCATGAGTTGTAGACAATTTGTAGCAGACAAGTAAACAATTTTGTCAGCATAGTGTGATTTTTAAAGTCTTTGAGCCTGTGTGTCGGACATGAATGCATGCTCTCATGTTATTGTTACTTAGCTTCGTCGCAGAAACATGTTTTACCGATTAGACAAAACTTGCCGAAAAGCAGCCTAATTCAAGCTACCAATGTAAAGAATGAATTATGTCAAATGTATATATATATTTACACACCTGGATATGTGACATCCCTATTTTACCAATTAGACAAAACAACCAGGTATGACAAATGTAATTAGTTCATTGAACATCTCTTGTTTGGTTTATGCAGCAACGACCCAAATGAAGCTCTCCCTCTGTCGAGGTCTTTTAAAGTGCCTAATACTGACAACGTCATTGAAGAAGGTAAAAAAGACCCCTCGAAATTTCGCAATATTACACTGTGCAGCCTTGGTGTTACAATGGAAACTGAGATATATACAGCCAGTGGTTGGCCCTCAGTTAGTGGAGATGCTTTAAAGACCCTAGCTGGAAAGGTATCCTCAGAATATGATTGGACTGATGATGAGGATATTTCTACTGATCAAAAAATTAAGAAAGAAGTAGATGACTCTTATGGAACAGCTTATGAAGCATTTGGGCGTGAAAAGGAGGGGAAGGAGGCTTGCCATGCCATTGCTGCTTTATGTGAAGTCTGCTCTATAGATTCTTTGCTATCCAACTTCATTCTTCCCTTGCAGGTATTTTGTTTGTATATTTTAGTTACATACCTGCATTCAGGGTATTTATTTCATTTGTGTCGTGACAGAGCAATAACATATCTGGTAAAAATGGGCGCATCCATTGCTCTCTGAACATCAACACTGAGACTGGACGCTTATCAGCAAGGAGACCAAATTTGCAGGTACACGCTTCATTCTTTCTTCT